CAGGGTAGACAGCAATTTCCACTTCGGCTGGGTCTTATTCGTAGTCCCAAAGGGACTCGAAACCAGGTAGTGCAGCATTTACTTTCGAAGTGTTACCACTACGCTTGATTGCTTCGAGTGCCAGTTAGTCATAGAGCAATGCGAATTTAGAGAATAGCTAGTCATAGCACATGTCGGATTTTTATAGTTGGATTGTAGATGAAGTAAATATATATTTTTACATTATAACAGACTCCGCTACTTGTATTCATTGTAAGTAGGAATGGAGACTCACAGTAGATCTTGGCTAAGAAATGTATTCAATAGGATTCAAATTGGCTGATGATCTGTGATCCAATGGCGACTAACCATGTACCGTAGTAGTAAAATATCAAGATTTTGAGCTGCACTATTTAGGTTTGATTCCCGATGAGGCTGTTGATGAGGCCCAGACAAAGTCGTGACTCTTGTCCATCCTGTATAAAAATACTTTTTGGGGAGCAAGGCGAAGTGAAATTCAATGGCATTTGGGCCCCACTATGGAAAAAGTCAGCTATCAGCCACTCCTCATCTTATGTGAACTAGGCTAAATACGGTTCTTATTCAAGATCTATGGACAATCTCGTAAACTATATATGATTAATAGGAAAGGAGGGAGTTGACGCCCGGATTTCGCCAGAATCGCTTAAAGCTTTAGCCAATCGGGCTATCATATTCATGTTTTCATAACTCTTATTTCATATGGATTGGCAATTAGAAGGGTTTCGCAAATTTGCCTAACCTGGTACCAAAAGTGTGACTGGATTTTCGATAAGAAGTCTTTCGATTCAGATAAATCAATGAGGAGCTTTCGTAATTTGGCGCGACCGGAAGCGGAAGGAGGATTGCCTTGAAACCGCTACTGTAGATTTATGAGGAGACGTCATCGGTACCTCTTTCTGCGACCTCGATGAGTCCTTGCGGAGATTCTTATCCGTGATGTGACGGAAAACATCTGAGCAGGAGACAAAGTTGTACGATAATTTACCAAAAAAGGATGACAAGAAAGCATGGTACCCTGCTCTAATGACGTCCGTCACATGACGGATCATAACCTCAGAAATGATTCATCAAGGTCGTGGGCTGGTACGCTGAGAATTTATTGGGGAAATCAGCAGTCACAGCTCCAATACAATCCTCCTTTGGCTCCTGGTTAAGCCAAAATATGAATCCTTCCCATCGCCTCTTCCAATTAAATGAAATTTATATCATAATCATTCTATAGAGAGTGTCATAGAAACCAAACTTTCCTCATATCTACACAATATGAAATGACCCATTAAGATCTAAAAATTAGACAGTAAAATATGAAGACAAACACTATTCTTGGTCCAGTATTTTCGGTTCAGGCCGGACAAAATCTCAGTAGGAATTCATCGATGCTTCAAGGTGGTGTGCCGAGGTCTTCTTCACACAAGCCAGCAACCACAACTGCAAGGTGACACAGTTTCTATTTTGGTGAAGCCAAGTTATAAATCCCTTCAAAAATTTTTTCACCCAAATAATAGGTTCGCCAGGCAGAGTGAGAGCAAGAAGGCGTCGACGCGCAAAGGCAACAAGGAGAGATATCCGGTCGTGATTATACGAACTCCTTATACGTACTTATTTCATCCAAATGAAGCATCCCAAGGTATGGTCGGCTAAATTAGCCTCACCATAGATGCTCACAGATGAGTAAAATGGATGCATACAGAAGATGTGGATGTAAAAAAGCCTTGGTTAATTTGTGTAAAACAACAGCATCCATATCCTTTTGATTCATCAACTTTACTCTTCTTCAAGTGTTTATGATAGGCATTAAGTAGCCAAATAATTCATGCAATGGAAAAAAGGATCGCTAACTTCAGCACATGAAGTGGTAATTTTCTTGGTTTAAAAGTGGTTAGACCTCGTTTTCGTGACTGCCGTGTTGTCAAGGCTACCTTGATTAACACAACTTGCCCGAAGATCCTTTCATTAAGGAATTCTTCGAAATCCAGTTTTTCTTCATATCTCTAGTATAGTAGTTATCATAATGCCCAGCGTCAGACCGAAGATTTGACATATTCCAAAAAGGTTCACCGAGATCGTAACCGGAATCTCCAGTCTTACTATTATGTTAGAGCTCATCAAAGAGACAAGTCAGAAATTCGGCTAAGGAATAGTATTCACTTTTCTCTTCAACGAGCTGTAGCTTGGTGCTAAGACTCATTAATAATGTCAACTGCAATTCTGGTGAAACTTGTGGGAATGTAGCAAGTCTACAATCTGATGCTGGGAATTCTTATAAGTATTATAGCGGAGAACTTTTGACAAGGAGCACTCATCAAGGTCGCCCCGACGAAACGGCAAAGTTGCGAAGATGAATCCAAACCACTTCTTTACAACGAAAGAAGGCTGCAACCACATCAGAAGCCACACCATCTTGTCCTGCATATCTACCATTTATTGGTTTAGTTAAGAAATGTATAGTTCGTAGTAGATGCTTTCTGGCTGTGACGATGTCTGGCACGGCAGGACAGTTGAAGAAAGCTCAGCACTGATTCCTCGAGGTAGCCGAAATGAGTGTCGAGGACGTCGGTCCTCGGTAAGGCCAATCTATCACGTCCCTGTTCAACCAACAGGAAATTTTTAGGCAAATATTCGAATACTTTTTATCTGATTATCCAGAAAGAGTGATGCTGACTGCATTGCTTACTTATTGGGCCCAGAGACCCTCCTGTCTTTTTGTGCGCTCTGAATAGCCACTTGCTTATTGCGTGGCTGCGATTCGTCTCTGGGCGAGAGTGTTGAGTACACGATACTCCAGACAGGAACACATGGAAGTGACTGACAGGGATATTTGTGCATTCTCCTGAGGATGCTGACGAGAAAGAGAGAGGCAATCGACCAGAGTTTCTATGACAGTGAATAGAAAATGGTGGGTAAAACAGGCAGATACAGATCATGTTAATATAAGAATAAAAGATGGCTTTCGAAAAATCTCCTACTACCTAAATGTAACTGTACCTTTCATCTCGAAATAAAGTCTGGTTAATAAATCGGCCTCCCCGATTCATTCGTGCCAATCTTTTGTTCGTACCGCCGCGGCAGATATCGCGAGAGCAGAAATTGTCATTTGGGCAATTTCATCGAGCTTCAAGACAAGAAAGGCTGCCTCTTCAGAGCTGACCGAAAGCATAAATAGACAAATCAGGGTCCCAGATTGGCTGGACTAGAGTTTGGTTGACCTCTTTTTT